CGTCATAACTGCTTTTATCACATCAAACGCTTAAAAACAATATGAACTCAATGAAACAAATTATGTATACCTAGTCGTACGTGGGGCGCACTATAAGTTTCCAGAATGAATAAGACAAAAATACCATAAATGGTCAGAAATGAATTTATTGTTTCTTAAAATATTCTCCGTTAGGGTAAAACCGGGATAGATGTGGGGTAGGTGCCTCGTTTTCAAAAAACCAAATTTCCCCAAATCGCAACAAAGAGTAATTATCGAGTTCTTAGGTTTTCGCGATTGTTACACATAGGAAATGAAACTATTTTTCCGGATTTAAATCGCGTATATTTGTTTTTTCAAGAATAATTAGTTTAAATAAGGAGTATAAACACCACTCACCAAAGTTCCTGCAGGGCTTCGTGTGGAATAGACGCGTTTGACTTGTGCATGCGTTTATCTCCGCGACGAACATGATAAACGGTTCAAAATTTCCGACGCAAGTATTTACTGTCGCATAATTTTGTAAGTTATGATAATTTCCGTTTTATTTTTGTTTTATAATAAAAATATAATAGTTGCCTATACACTGGTTCATTAACTGCGCACCTAGGTGTCAATAATCGCTCTTTTGAATATAGCTTAGTTATATGATAAAAGGATATCTATCCATATCGTATAGGATAGACGACTCGATATTTCGCGGTATAGGTATTAGATAGGGGCAAAGGACAAGACAAGAAAGTTAGGAAAAGTAAATAAAAAAATACATTATTTTAGTGAAAGACAAGTAAATGATAATAGTTTAAAAGTAAGTAAAAGTACCAAAAAGACAAATTATTATTTACAGTTTAAACAGCGAACATTTTTATATAGAATGTTTTGATAGCTACAAAAATACGATGTGAAGTAGGTAGTAACTTTAAATACATATATATTTATTATTAAAGATGTAATATGTACATACAATATATTAAAGATTACAAATAAAACATTTTATTTAATAAAATTTTACTATTTTATTCTAAAGAGCATCTATCCTTCTTAGTATTTTCATTGTGTGGCGTCTATACATATAGGTAGGCATCTATCCTCAAAAAAATAGGTTTGCAAAAAGTCAATTTCTTGAAAATCAGTAAATGTTAGATGAATAAAATCAAGTATTAATGTAATGTAAAATATTAGACTAGTTATATCCATAGGAATTGTTCATGGTTAACTAATAATTTTTAAATTAGGAGGCCCTTTCAAAAAGTGGGGCATCTATCCCGGTTTTACCCTATCGTTAATTCACTTTTTCATACGAATGAACCAATTTTGAAAACATTTATGCCACTTGTCCGTGATAATCTCTGAAACATATTTTTCATACTCTTCGACAGCCTCTACAGGTGATGAAAATTGTTCACCGTGTAACTATATCTTAATTTTTGGAAATAAATAGAAGTCACAAGGTGCCAGGACGGGACTGTACGCGGGATAGCTCATAAGGTCAACGTTGTTCACCTTCAAAAATTCATTTATTTGTCTGTCTGGCCGTGTGAGAACTGGCATTATCGTGGTGCAAGATGATACGGCGTTTACGGTTATTTTTACGGAGTTCGTTAATAACTTCCGGCAAACAAATGGTCGTGTACCAATTACTATTCACGGTGCAACGATTCTCTAAAGCAACAATAGCCACATGTCCAGTTTTATTAAAAAAAGAAGCAATCATCCGCTTAGAGGCACTTTGCACGCGCGCCACTTTGGTTGGTTTCGGCTCATCTCGAAAGACCCATACGCTCAATTGCTGCTATGTTGTGGGATTGTAACTACAAAATCAAGTTTTTTTTACTCATTCTCATTTGCTCTCACTCATTATGTTGTTACTATGTCCCACAACAAATTTGACACCCCTTCGTTGAATCTGGTAAGCATGGCATTGCACCAAGTGACGCGACCCGTTTTTTGAACCTCAGTCAAATTGTATGGGATCCATCGAGAGCTCAGCTTTTTCACACCCAAATGTTTGTGTAGTATTGATTGTATTTGACTTATGCCTATGCCTAAAGATGCCCGAATCTCATAGTATGTCATATGCCTGTCTGTTTTGATTGTACGGCGCACAGCATCGATGTTTTTGTTGTTCGCAGCAGTGGCCGGGCTACTATCACGTATAATTCGTCACTGAGATTCACACGATCGCGTTTGAATTCTGCAAACCAGCTATAAATAGTCGTCTTGCATGGTGCTTCATCGCCAAAAGCCGTTTGAAACCCAGGGAAGCTCCGCTGAGCTGTTAAATTACACTTAAAGTCGAAAACTGAAAGTACGAAAATTTTCACGAGTTAAATCCATGGTGATGTAGACATATATTTCTAAAATAACGCCACAATGTAAAAACAAGTGACAGTCAGATGAAACAAACTGTACAGCCAAAGACTTCCATTTTCAAATGTTATAATTACTTTTTAAATATTGTTTATGTAAGTGGCCAGTTCCGGAAACTTATAGTGCGCCCTATGTGTTATTATGCGAAATTTTATGTCTATCCTATTAATGCATAAAAAACTTTAAAAAAAGTAATATCAAGTGACGGGACGAATAAGTCGTGCTCCTGAACAGTTGCAGTGCCACTCAGAGCTTTAAATCGCAAAGACCTGAAGGGCACTGCCACTGCGCCCATCACCCTGAGACATAAGTAGACAAGTTCCATGTGCCTGTAATTTCACCAGCACCTTTACTTACCCTTCTAAGTCGGAACATATGAACTAATTTCGTTCGTAGAATTTTCAAATGTCTTTCCTGAAAAATTGTCATTTTGCAGATCTAACTTTATTACACCATGGGTTCGTATGGTATCATAAAAAAAGGAAAATTCTCTACTTGGCATTTAAGTAATATTGTAGCGTGTTATCTGCGGAAATAACTAGGTAGGTACGTTTTTCAATTTTTAATTCAAATTTGACCTAAAATGTGGTAGTGTAGGCGATATTTTTATAAAAACTGCCCGAGATTCTAAATTCGTTTTGTGTGCTAGCCTTTTGTCTCTAACATCGTTGTAGACATCCTCCCTTCGATTTTCAAATTCAAATGGATTCTCTTCGTAGGCGTTACCCTTCAAAGGCGTTATCTGTTTCCACCAATCACCGCTCAAGGATCACCCTCCAGGATCACGCCACACTCTGATTGGTTGGCAGATTGACACCTGATTATCATGTCCTTATCCTTAAGATAATATTGTTGTCTCTTTTTGATACGAGAAGGGTGTTGTCTATCTCTTTCTGTTCGCATTGTTTATTTTGACTTGATTGTTTCAGGATTGTTCGATGATATTGTGCGAATATGTATTGATTTTACGAGAATAGAAGAAGTAGGCACCTACTTACTTACATACTAAATATGGATAGGATATATGAGTTATTTTCAGCAAAGTGCTTTCGTATCTGCAAAGAAGAATAAACATTGAAGATTTAGATCATAAATTACTAGGTATATTGTATCACCTTTACGTTGTAAGTACGCGTATTTAGGTACAAACATTTAATGGTACAGATGACAACACATCAAGGTACACATTAACGGATCTTGTTCCGTTGCACTGGAGACGATATTCGAACAAAATAGTACAGAGTGCTAAAAAAACCAACCTCAAATGTCATAAATCCCCTAGTTCGCCACTATAGGTATAATTTTGAAGATGATCTGAGGTACCCTCTTTCCAACAAAAAAATCCTCTTTTTTTTGAAGTCGGTTAAAAAGTGATAGCTTGATGCGCTGTTGCTTGTCATTTTTTTGTGTAAATTTCTAGCTATTTACACATTTGCACAGGGTCAAGAGCACGTCAAGCTTTACACTTAAGACATACTAAATCCAACTCTATGCCGCTTACGATAAGAACGGTCCAAAGTACAAAGTGTCAAGCTTGTCGTGCTCTTGACTGTACTTATAGGAACATTTAGCTTCTAAGGTTCCGAATTACATTAATACTACATAATATACCTAAGTACCTACTACTTAATAATACAATAGTACCTATATGTCTATACGACAAATAGACCTCTTGTCACAGAACACCTGTCTGTAGGTACAAAACGCGATCTATGTATCTACCTTCCGATCATATTTGATACGGTAATAAGTGCCTAACCCAACTACGTATCATATCTACCATGCGTTTAATTTAAACTCATCTCTATTGGCTTCTGTTAAGAACTATTCAAAGTTCAAAATGTGCTCAAAGCTGGAGCTAGTAAATATTGAATACTTATTATGTACCTACGCCAATTAATTTATCATAGCAGACACAAAACAGTCGAGTAATTTGTGTGAATCTGCTTAATGTCCTTTCGTGCCTTTTCAATAGGTATTACTTAGAACCAATATAAACAATTTCTCCTATCATCTCCTTATTATCTGATAACATTGGTAAATGTACAGTTTTGTAACTAACACGAAAATCAAAGAACAAACTCTAAATATATAAATGCATTACTAAACCATATTACGTTAATACAAAATGTAATGTAATGGTCGTTTCAAAAGCAGAAATTGGGTAAATAGTTTTTCACTTTATATTACTTTTTAGTTAGTTACGGAATAGTGTCGCCATCTAGGTACAGTTGCCAATAATACTATGATACTATGCAGTCATTACACAACGTCATAAAAAGTACTTGTTAATTTCATAATTGCGACGTAGTTTTCCCACTCTATACTAGATAGCGCAGTTTAAATGGTAATAATTTATAATGGCAACACTAAACTGACGCGTGTCAACTTCACGCATGCGCATAAACAAATTTGTGTAGCTCGAAAAAAGAGATAATATTGCTTATGTTTAAATCTACACCACCATCTTTTGCGTCAATAGATATATATATTTTTGTTAAAAACTAAGAAAGTGTAGTACAATTTACTTTAGAAATTAAGTAAATACTGAAATAATAAAGCGCGTTGTGACGTTCAAAAGCGTAAACGTGTTGACGTTTTGGCTTTCGTTTCGGCTCACTTTTTACATACGTGTCACGAAATTAGTGCGCGTTCGGCTTCTAAGCCCTTAATTTTAGGCAATAACTGTGAGTATAATATTTTAATACTTAGATATTTCGATTATTAACTCATAAGTGTTCGCTTCAAATATTATCTTCATTATAAAAATTCCAATACTGCTACCGAGCGTAATATCCTCCACGGTTTTAGATTATTACTTCGTTAATTACGCTTATTACACAGTAAAATAAGTTTATAGCCGTGAAAATAACTTGTTAGATGTTGAAATAACATGTAACATCTATAAAATTATTAGTTCAACTGGCCTTGTCTTTGTAGAACTTTCGAAGTTCGACTGCACTTGAGTCAATATTTCATGTTTTTGTGTTAAATTCTGTGTTTCCTGCACGAATACATTTATTTTGCCGTAACCTTGTTGTCTGTATCGATAAGAAGTGTACGATAACTAATAAATATTCCGTTCTTAATTTCTTATCTAAAAATTCGGTAAGTAAGGTGCATTGTGGGTTACACGTACGTAAATACATTTTAGACACGTTTAGGGAAAGTTGTTGTGACGCAGTTTCACGGTACATTGTTGGTTAAATTGATATTCAATTTTGAGGTATGTACTTATAAGACCATATTAACGTCACATCTCTTATTCACACGGCGACGCAAGTACGCTATGTTAAGTATATAATACTTGGTACTTGGTGCAACAGGCTGGAGTTCGCAACTCGACAACAAAGCGCCTATTTTGCCTAATATTGATGTGCTAGGTAACCACACCAATAACCTGGTCTCAAAGTAGGAAATACTATGAGTACCAAATAAGGTCACTGCTAAGTGAAAATACTGCCAGCTTACCTATTTCTGCCGCCAAGCAGTAATGTGAGCATTACTTCATTTCGGGTTTGAAAGGTAATGGTACTGGTAAAATTACAGGCACATGGGACTTGTCAACTTATGTCTCAAGGTGATAGGTGCAGTGGTAGTGCCTCTAAAATCTTTGTTATTTAAAGCTCTGAGTGGCACTGCAACAATTATAGGCAGGCATATTGCTTACCATCAGGTATAATAAAAAAAACTCTAGGCACTACCCAGAACACCCAAGCTGGAACCATTTTAGAAGAGTATGTTTTTGAAATTGGTCTCTTGTGAAACAAACAGAAGACCTTCTTTGTCATCTATTCCTCATACAGCTAACCACTAGGCTACCTATTGTTAAAAAATACAGGATCTCTAAACATTTGCAAGATATATCTTCTGGACCCATCATGCTATTTAAGTGCTCTTGTTGGTATAGCCCTGACCACTTTATTGCCGCTCACTTTGACATTCTTCTTTATTTGTTTCCCTCAATTATAATTTTTATAAATTCTACAGGACATCTTAAGCAGCTACACTACAGCAGTAAACATCTGATTTTTTCCTTTATTCCATAGTGACTCCTATGGTAAAAAGGTTTTTTATTTTATGGAATACAATTGGCCCCTTTTTCAACTCACCCAGAAACTTAGTGTTAAAAACAGCCTATCATTTATATATTTTTCTTTTTGAACAGTTTTTTTAATATAAAGCAATACGAAAATCACAAAACCCCTTAGAGGCAAGTCTAAATAAAAAAAAGTACATTCTTTTACCTCATCCCTAAATAACCAAGTGGCTACTATCAAAACACACAAAGGGCTATAGGGATACATATAAGGGCTTCTACACACTACATTGACGACCTGTGGTCGAGTGGCTTGCACACCGCTGTTCAAGCCACCGCTATATCTGAGGTCCCGGGTTCGACACCCAGTCGGGTCAATGTAGAAACTAACTTTTCTCATTGTCTGTTGGCGTTAGTGGTACCGTCGTTATTTCCGATTTCCATAACACAAGTGCTTTAGTTACTTACTTTGGGATCAGTAGGGCTTGCACTCCAGGGCAACTTGTGCAAGAGCGACATAGAGTGCGAGATTTCTATTCTAGAATAGCAGTATCTCGCGCAAGCCTCGCTAACCCTCCAAAGCAACGTATGTGATATTGACTAATATTAACTCTGAAAAAATTGCTCATTATAACATTTTGCAATTATTGTGATATGTTATTAGGTACATTTTCTAAACTATTAATCATCTATGAAACACCTAAATACTCTGTCATGTTTAGGACTTCATAAGAAAATTATTACGTAATTAACTAATTACCAAAGTATATAAATCAAGACAGTATTATTCAAGGCATTTCGGTTTCAGTCTTTGTTAAACCTTTGTGCAGTACAGTGTTGTCTGTGTATAGCAAACTTTATGCTTAATCTAAAACTCACTAAAATTTAGTCAATAGGTAAGCAAATATAAATAATATGTTATCCTAGAAAGTTAAGAACTTCTTTAGATACTGTTTAAAGGAAGATTTTTTTAGGTTTAGGCAAAATTAATCTTATTTAATTACATGTTGTATTTAAATAAGATTAATTTTATACATTGACTGCCTACTACCGGCCGAATGGTTACCATGCTGATCTGCCACTCAGAGGTTCCGGGTTCAACTCCCGAGCTGGGAGAAATATTTGTATGGCCTATATTTATGTCTCTCGTTAGTTTGGGTGTAATTTGTGGTTGTGTCTGTGGGTTAGAATTATATTCTCAGAACAATGTAATATTTAGTGTAATTAATTTAATTTTACTTTTATAAATTTTTAATCATTTAAATATTATTATTCAAGTGTTTTGATATAGTAATTAGTTTACCCGTATTTGAGATTCATGTAGGAACAATCAACACGTTTTCTCGAACGCAATCATATATTCTAATTCTGTTTAATTTGAATACAAAAGAAGAAATCCCTAATATTAACCTTAACCTCAAACCCCGTGGTACTGTCCTAATAAATATCAATTTTATAACTTCAATACAGACCATGTTTAGTTTTTTTTTAAATGTGCAACAGGCTTTTTATTTTTTTTAATAAAAAAATAAGTGCGCGTTTGTATTCCATCTTACCTGATGGAAAGCGACGATGAGGTCGACGATGAAGCACGTACACCTAAATAATGCCTATTCACTCTCGCCTTGGAAAGTTTCAAATTATAACATTCAGGGAACAAGTCTGCGGGCAGGGAATTCCACTCCATAGCCGTTCGCCATATAAATGTGTAACGCTTCGTGCGAATTCTTGGAATATCCCCACCATAGGGTCGAACCCGAGCTTACGCCTGGTCCCCCGATGATGGAAAGGGGAAGGCGGTATTAATTCGTGCAATTCCCTCGCACACTCTCCGTAATGAACAGATCTTTATTTTTTATCAGCGATTACAGTTCCCCTTGACTAGTTATAATGATAGATTTGTCACTGTTTGCAATCAGTACCGATTACCTAATTATTACGGTTTATGGTTTTTCTGTTGTGGCAATAATGAAGTTTGTTTCATATTCGCCAGGGAAAGCTTTTGAATAAGTATTAAAAAGTAGATAAATACGTATATTTATGGTCAAATAAAAAAAAACGGAATTGGAATTTATTAAAATAAGATAGTTGCAGGCGTTCATAAATCAGAAATTAGAAAGAAATGGCAACATTACGTCACAACAAAGCATCCGTTCTGCACTGATTTAAACTTTTAATATGGACGATATTAGGTGAGATTTCGAAAAACGTATTTAAGATTCAATTTCATCATGTTAGTGACAATAAGATTTTTTTTTAATTACTATAGAAATCACTTATGAGCTCGGGTCGAAAAGTTTGTCTAAAAAATTACGCGGGGACGAGTAGAATGCAGAGCCGAACTAGTGTTGCACCAACTCGATTAGACTATTACAGACAACAGGTTGCTTTTTAACCGACTTCAAGGAAAAAGGAGGTTATAAATCGACTGTGTTTTTTTTATTTTGGTAACGCGATTACTCTGGCATTTGTGAACCGTTTTTGATGATTTTTTTTTTTGTTGGAAAGAGGGTACCTCACTATTGGGCCCATTTAAATTTGAAGAAAATATTCCGGTTTCGCACACTTTCCGGTACCCGATTTCAATAAAACTTGGCAAATAAATTTAACTCCACAAACTTGTGAAGTCGGATTTTTTAAAATAAAAAGTTACAATTATTTAGCAAGATAATTTTGAAATGATAACGTACGCTAAAACAGGAACCCCTATCATTGATACAAAGATAGAACAGACACAAAGAAAAATTCCTTCGGTCCGACTAGACACGACCAGTAGATGTTGCCTCAACGTGGCTACCGCTCTTACCAACGGAGCTCCAGATCTAGGCCGAAGATCTTAGGAATTTCTCTACAGGCATACTGTTGCGTATTATTGTACTGGGCTTAAAATGGGTTTAAACGACTGCCCTTATGATGAGACTTCGGTATTTCGATACCATCAGTATCAATTAACGTAAGTGACATTTTGTCGAAAATTAGTTACATATATCATTGGATTCGGAAGTTCCCGCTCTATCGATTGGTATTATTAAAATTTAGGAATGCCCAGTGGTTTAAAATATAGCATGTACCTTACATTAAAAAAAGATGTTTAGTTGTGCATTACGTTATTAATATTTTAAGTGTAATCCGTCGAGCACGGTGTAAATAAATCTTAAATATTTCACTCATGAAAGAAGAGGAAATTCTAAGAAACTTTACTCGAGGCACAATCAAAATTGAAGCAGACAGTACAAAGTTATAGAAAGATTTAAAAAAAACCTGAAAAATCGTGGTTTGTTCCTTACATTAATTGATACCTCTGGTGTCGACTTGTCTGTTTGTTTCTATGTCACATTTTGTTTTGGTATAATACCAGGATGAGGAGGAGGATGACAGGACGAACAAGTGCGCCTGGTGGTAAGCGATACGCCTGCACATAACAGTTGCAGTTTCATTCACAGCTTTAAATCGCAAAGATTTATATAGGCACCGCCACTGCGCCCGTCACCCTGAGACGTAAGTTGACAAGTCCCATGTGCCTGTTATTTCACCAGCACTCTTACCTTTCTAAATCGGAACGCAGTAATGCTCACATTACTGCTTGTCGGCTGAAATAGTGGCAGTACTTTTCTGTACGAACTTTTTCACAAGAAGCTCTACAGCTATTTAATTAACGTATTTCACAACAACGACGTACAGTTGTAGTGCTTGATTTGACAGTGAAATCCTAGGTTAAATTAGTTTTGTAGAAATATTGCTTTTTATTATCGGTTGTATTGAATTTTATTATTTTATTGCAGGACAAATATATAACTAATCGACAAAAATGGCCCCCAAGCAAAGGATGCGTATTGCCAACGAGATTGCCAGCAAAAACATCACAATGAGAGGCAATGTGCCAAAGTCCACGAAGGTGAGAAAATCAAATAATGATTAAAAAATTTGCATCCGTTCTATTGTTTCTACTAAAACAAAAACAGTTGTTTTTTAATATTTTATTTGTATTGAATATCATGATGTCCTTACTAACATGTTATTTATTTGTTTTTAGTGAAAATACTCCACACTAGTTCGTTATTATTATTTATAGGTCCAGTCAGGTTGAGGTATTTTTTTTAGTTTATTCGATCTTTGTATGAAATTTTTGAATATCTTCGTAGTAAAAACATCATGGTACTCCATTTAATATAGCGATATTTCTATCAACTTTATGGTACCTGGTCGAGTGAAGAAACTTTTATAAGTTCTCACAGATGGCGTTACAGCAAAGAGCCTTTTAAACCTGTTGAAAGATCCGCAACAATCACATAGAGAAATTCATAAAGTCGAGGCAATTTTTCTTTACGTTTGTTCGATCTTTGCATCAATAATAATAACAAACTATTGGACTATTTTTATTGTTCAATAAAATAAATATTCATTGTCTTTCTATATTCTTTATTCTTTTTATGAATATTATGTTAGATTATGTAAATTGCGTAAACTTGTGTCTTAAAGACGTCCTGGTGGCCAGATTTTCAATTGCCCTAACCGCACATTTCTAAAGGACAAAGATTCTGACAATATCGGCGTCATTAACCAAAAACATAATGCCGTATGTCATTAGAGTGTGAAAGTAGCTGAAGTAAACCAATGTAGCGGTTTCTTTTATATATTATTATTTGCAAGAATGTGTCAATATGTACCGTGAAGTTGTGTTACTGACTGTAACTGACGTGTGTGACTGACGACTAAATATTCTATGAGTAATAAATAGTTTAGCAATTTTTATGCATTCTCTTCCATAATAAAAACCACCATCTTACTATTGGTAGTAAAACTTTTTCGTCCTTCAGGACAGGCTATTTGACCATATTGCCAGATCTTGATTGTAATTTTTCTTCAATAGTCAATTTTTTTTGTAATTTTTCTTCAATAGTTCAATTTTCTGACATTTTTTCGCGGGAATTCATTATATTTTTACAGTGGTCATTTTGAAACTTCATTCCTACTATTGGTCACTGAAATGGTAATAACTTTTTTCCGTTGGTTGACAATGATACCACGACCTTACAGCCCAGTTCGATATTGCTCTATCATTATCGCGTATACTGTTTACACTTAGATACATTTTACTATAAATAATATTGATCCAAATAACTATCAACGTGTTTAAATTACTGACTGACATAATACAAATGTGTTATTTATAGCATAATAATTTAAAAAAAAATTGCATTTGGGTTTTTTTGTTATTATTATTTAGTAAATAGACAATACATATCCCTTCATTATGTTTGTTGTGTAATTACACATAATATGAATTATTGACTGAGCACAATCAAATTATACTTATTTTGTTGCTGTTAACATAAACAATCTGTACCTATTTTCACATATAAATTAATTGTCTTTTCACTATTGTTACAAAAGTTATTAATGAATTACCTTATTTTGAAATATTTTCCAAAGGACATTCCGATTTACGCCTCATGTTTTATAAATTATTTATTAATTGAATTTTATTATTAATTATTAATGGTAATTAGAATAAATTCAAAAATATTAATATTAGTACTGCAGTCTTATGTCTGCTTATAATTTTTCATCAGAGGAAATACTGGATCCCAAACTGGTGGCATTAAACAACAAATATACGCATTTAAATCCGAAAAAGTAGTTTAGGTTCTTAACAATTATGTTGTATGGCGTATCGTATTTATATATAAAGAAAATGCCTACTCCAAAACACGTGTTCAATGATATCCAATGCCACAGGTGTTTATCAAATAACAATAATAACATTACATCTACGCAGTGAATTCATATCGAAATTATTCAATTGTTATTGAATCATTTTTAAACAAATTATCAAGGTTTCGTATTGGTACGTTAATAAGAATCGACCGACTTTGTTTTATATAATAATTATGTTGTCTTATTTGTAACCGACTTTAAAGGAGGAGGTTCTCGTTTAACTTTCGTGAACCGATTTCGATAATACTTTTTTTTAAGAGGAGGTACCTCAGTTGTAGTCCCATTGAAATTTGAAGAAAATATTCCACCTCTAAGGGTAGCAAATTAGGGGATGAATCCGGTTCATTGCATTTCACCTACTTTCTGTTAACCGATTTCAGTAAAACTTGGCAAATAGATGTAATTCCTCCGTGGCCGAACGGTTACCATGCCGGACTGCAACGCAGAGGTCCCAAGTTCGATTCCCGGGCCGGGAGAAATATTTGTATGGCGTACATTTATTTCTCTCGTGAGTTTAGGTGTAATTTATGGTTGTCTATGTGTGTGTCTATGGCAACACAGGGTTTCCCCGATTGCGGGCCTAGGTTGAATGTGTGTGTAACTATATTTTTTTAATTCCAGGTCCATTTTTGAAGTCGGAATTTTTTTTTTTGTTGTAAAAACTTACTATTTTATGAAATTTGTCTCGCCCAAAAAATCACTACTGCTTACTAAATATACATCTTAACGCATTAGATATAAGGGTAATATTAAGTTAGAGTTACACAATGGTACCTTTTCTAAATTTGAATTATCGGACGTTTTTCTTGAAACCTGGTAAAAGCAATGCAAACGAAAAACGAACTTTAATCAGTCAAAAGTTCACCTTAAGTGTTTAATCATAAGGTTAATATCGAGTTCTTAGGATTTCGCGATTGTTACATATAGGAAATGAAACTATTTTTCGGATTTAAATCGCGTATATTTGTTTTTCAAACATACCAACGTTTCGAGCCCTTTACAGGTCCCATGGTCACGGTTGCCTGAGGTGGTATAGTCATCAACCAGTTATGTCTAATGTTAATGCTATCGACACTATTTTTTTTTATAATGTCAAGAGACGGGACTAACAAGGGGTGCCCCTGATGGTAAGCTGTCCATAACTGTCACCCTGAGACATAAGTTGACAAGTCCCACGTGCCTGTAATTTCACCAGCACCGGAACACAGTAATGCTGACATTACTGCATGGCGGCAGAAATAGGTAAGGTGGCAGTTTCTCCCTGGACGAACTCTTTCACAAGGAACTCTTCTGCTACTAAATTATTCACTATTGTTACAAAAGTTATTAATTAAATACCTTTTTTTTTTAATTTTGAAACATTCCAATTTACACTAACAAATTTACCGTGAACCGATAAATTGTCGTCACGGTCTAGTGGGCACATCTAGACACGACAGTCGTTGAACGACGAAATAAACGTTCACGACCGTCACGACAGATAGTCGTGATATAGGAACAGGCTAGACACGACAGTCGTCCAACGGTAAATAAAACGTTACGACATAATTGGAACGCGCCCAAAGATCGCACAAACACAAAGAAAAATCCTCATAGACTCGAACCTTCGTCTGTTGCCTCAACGTGGCTAGTAAAAGTATCATAATATTTCGTAAATATATTTATTACAAATTCACGGCTTTTCGTCCCGCAGGAAAAAGATGAGCAGTATCCAGTGGCACCGTGGTTGTTAGCTCTATTCATCTTCGTAGTCTGCGGATCTGCTGTTTTCCAAATCATCCAATCCATCAGGCTTGCCTAAGCAACCGACTGTTACATAGCGGCAACTAACGTGTGGCTTGACATAACTATGTTACAACTTGGCAGCTGTTATCTGATTGACCACTTGTTTAATTTCAATTTTCTGACACGTTTTAAACGTGACAAGTAAAAATGTGACCATTATGTTTTTGACTTGTGACACATTTGAAGCCGGTGTGCGGCTTTTCGCCTTAAAGATTATATTCTAACTGGCAAAAAACTACCAAAAACTATCTCTATGTAGAGAACATGCAGCATCGAGTGGGTTGACAATTGATAGTTGGAATATTATCTCGTTATCATCCAAGATCTCTATCGATCAGTTAAAAAAAACTTAAGTGTTGTAATTACTGGTTTTTGAGAGATTTAAGGTGTGAAAAATGTTTGTGACATCCGGGGAAAATTGTAACATCTTTGACGCAATGTGTTGCCAAATTGTAACAATGTTTTTTTTTATTAAGTTTATGATAAAAACTATTTCAAAATTAATTGAATATGTACATATTTTTTTAAACTATTAGATTACAATACTTTTAAAACTCTGTAGATAACAGTAATATGTCCTTAAAAAAATGTTCATTGTACAGTTTTTATACTTTTTCAAGCCACATTATCCCTTCTAATTCCACATAAAGGTTTGTTTACATCGGTTTTTTTTTATTTCCAATGTAGACAAACCTTGGCTGCGCAGTGATTACAAGAATTTATACAAATCGACTAAAGTTTTTAATGTTTATGCGCAGTAATCCTTCCACATAATCTCACCATTAAATGTACGTACTATATTCTTGTATATTGTAAAATAAAATTGAAAAAAGAATAATGTTTAAGCATTTAGGGTGTCTTCAAACTAGACGCTTACAGAAGCACTACAGTGGCGCCACTGTGCCGCTTCAGCCGCGCCACTACTTATTTTCATGCAAAATTTAAAGCGCAGTTGCATCGCCACTCGTGATACACGTGCGCCAGTGTGATGCGCGTTCACAATTATACACATTAAAGTTAGCGACCTACTATAGACTGCTCTCTTTCGCACTACTTCATAAAAATGACAAGGTCATAAGATGGTAAATGGGAGGAGGAGGAAACAACACGCGTCCGCTCCGCACAGTTGTGAAAGCCAATTAATTTGCTAACAACCAATCACGTGGGGCAGTCTTTTATCAGTACTAAGTCCCTAACTTAAATAAGGTGTAGTAAACTAAAATTACTGACGCGCGGCTGCCGCGCAACAGTGGCGCCACTGCAGCTTTCTATAAGCGTGTAATTTGAAGACGCCTATAGACTTGTAATCGTTGAATTTTTTTCTTATCCATTCCTGTAGATTTTTATCGGAGACCAGCGTCGCACAAAGCATGGTTTTGTTTTAGCAAAATTATGTTCATCTGTTCTTATTGATTTTAAGTGCAATTTTATATTGAATTTGAATTGAATAATAGATTGAACTAATTAAATTATTATCAGCAACCTCGTGGACAAAATTTGTCGGTTCTTATTTTAATTAAAAATGTAATTTATTTGATTAAAAACAGTATATTTGGTATATTAGTTATGCGTTTTATTTTATTATTCCTCATCGCAAACGAAATTCGCAAAGCTCGATTTATATTGCCGCGGAATAGGAGCGAATCTTTGTAACCATAGCATAATGGAAACTCTAGCAGCTACCACATCGTATCTTACTATGTATGTATATATACAATTCGTAACAATCCGTTACGCTGTACTGTAAATTTGAACCTTACTGCATGGATCTAAAGCTTTTTATAACCGGCTGAAACCGATTCCTCTTGAGTCGTAAAAGATTAATGGTAATCATCGTTCTATGTAATAGCCTTTCCTCATGCTCCTACTGGGAGCTCCCTCTATTGGTAGGAACACGAGCTCTAATGAATCCTTATGCTCCTACCGGTAATACCAAAAGGATTAGTAATCTTGTGCTCCAAGTAATAATAATAATTCACTTAGGGTCCTAATTGAAAATCAGTGCTGGTAACGCATTGCGTTTTCCAGCAAATACTGAAGTTTGTGACCCTTTTGTTACCGCGGCTGGCACCACATAAAGTATCTCTATATTTAGTGAATAGTTTATGTTTTAATTTAATCATTTTTTTTATATATTTTTAACAACAAAGAAAAAAAACAAAAAAGTTCTGTTGTCTTTCGTTTTCTTTTTTTTTCTTTTGTGGTATATAAATGTTTTTTCCTTCTTTCTTTCTTTCTAATTTTTATTTATTTCAGTCCGTCGTAGGCCATAGTAGAAAAATACAATTCATAATTTTAAAACATCCAATGAGTTGAAATAAGAATTAAGGGTTAAACAATAAATTAATAAAAATCAAAATTTAAGTTGTAAAATTAAAAAAATAGAGATTAGAAAAATTGCAAAGTAAAATTAAAAGTCTAGAAATTTACATTTTCATTACCAATTGGGCTACGCCTATCGTTTGCTCTATCCAGCATAGTAATATACTGTCACTTATATATATATATTTATAAAATTGATATTCTATCACTGAACTTGTATGTATTTTTCAGTGTAGATACTATTGCATCATGTTATTAGCTTCTACACAGTGAACTAATACTAACAGCAGTTTTAAACGTTATTCAAATGAGTTTTTGGAAATAAAATTAGATAATTTTCATTTTGGTTCAATATATAATAAATGTATTTTTTATTCTACTTGACTGTACCTATTTATTAGATACACCGTCACGATAGGAGCAAAAGAACATACTAATCCTCGTGCTGCTACCAGTAGGAGCATGTGGAAACGGTCTTATTTAAGGGTCGTATTCTAGAACTCTACTCAATGCTCAAGTCAGGATTTGAGTATGGTTTAAAGCACTCGAAATCATACTCAAGTACCTGCTATTAGGGTCGTATTTCCAGTGCTTGTGTCTCCATTGCAACCCTGACTTGAGCATTGAGTAGAGTTCTAGAATACGACCCTAAGAGTCAGACTTATTGGTGTAACCTCCTCTACTTCTCAGGTTTCACAGCCAGCTACTTGATTTATTTGTTCACTGTTATGTCATTCTGGGTCTCTTTGTAATAATGTTGTAAAAAACGCAATTCGCGTCGCTTCGGTTCTAACTATGCAACTCACTACCGACCAACTACCGAGTTAATGCGTTTAGTAAGTGATATGAACAGCTGATTCGTTTCCTCGTCGGCTTGTTCGGTAAGACGCATCTCTGCCCTTGCTATCAAAGGACCCTTCCTTTAATACAGGATGTTAACAATCAGTCTATTTCGCACTCCCATCTCAATTGCAAATTGAACGGTGCAATAATTTTATTAACTCTCCTTTATGGAATCAACTGTATGTACCTACTGAATGAACGCTTCGAAATCTGTGAAACTGTAATTTTGTGCTATTATTTAAAATGAAAGTCCAATAATCTTAATTTCATAGGTACGCAAATAGGTAACACTTGAAATCGTCGTACTGATTAAACTCGACTGCTCATTCGTAAGACAGATTTCCATGAGAAGAATGAACAAGAAACTCGAGGGGTTGCTCTTTGTAAATATACATTTGAATGCATTCATCATTACAATATTTAATTTAAACATCTTAGATCGAGACTACCTGCAAGAACTAAACGGGTAAACCCATGGATTTTTGTCATCCAAGTACGCAGAAGCTGTATCGAATGTTAGGTTCACAGAACAACTTGATTTTTCGCTTATCAAAGTGATCCCCATTTAACACCTCTGTGGCCGAAGAGTTGCCATGCTGGTCTGCCATGTAGAAATCCCGGGTCGGGAGAAATAATTGTATGGCCTACATTTATTTGTCTCGTGAGTTTGGTTGTCTATGTGTGTGCCTGTCATGGTTTCCCTAGTGCGGGATTATGTGTATGTGCATTTAAAAATCTTCTATTATTTCCTCACATTGTTTGAGAAAAATTACTATATAAGCCTCGGCAGGAACGGGAATTGCTTATCTCGTAATGTAACTTGTCCAGTTCCGGCGATCCCTTATTTCCCGACCTCTGCAATAATGTACTATATTTGATAATAATATGTTAGTTTTTATTTCAATACGCGTTTAAAATTTTACCGTTGGCACGCTATACGTCTCCTGAACTGATAAGCTTTACCTCAAAGGTTGTCTGGAAGAGATCGCCCTTAGTGATAAGACGGCCTTTGCTCACAAAAGTTCTAAGTTGTCTATGTACTTGTTTTTGTTGTTGTGTGCGAGCAATAAAGTGTGTAATCGAACGATTTGACGTTTTTAAAGCACTTTAAATGGCGTCGCTTAATCCAATGGCACCATTCCTAAATCACGAGAACCACAGCACTTAACTTAGATCTGATTGCACTAACAAAAGCCGTGATTTAGTTGTTTTAAAAAAATACATAAAAAACTAGATGTAATCGTTACGCAGTTTCAAAATAAATGCCTCGAATTATTTAAAATTGCATATATTCATGTCATCCTTCTAACATTACGATTAGGTACATTTACTGAGAGCATCACTTACATTATATACGATCAATGTACATTGCTACAATTATATGGTACACCAATTTACATACATTGTCATGTGATATGTGGTACTTACTTTATATTAAAAGAAACCTTATGTTGGAGCACCTAATTTAATATTAATATAGCACCAATTTTTACATATAATAGTTGTTTTAAATATATATATAATAGGATTATTGTTGATACAAAGATACACAGACAAATAAATCTAGGGTCTGCGGACTAAAGCGCCAATATCATTCATTTAAATTATTACATCTACCGACTAAAGCATATGAATCTAATTCATTTGTAGCTAAAATTCTATTGGCGTATTTTTCGAATTTATCATTCTCTTCACATATTCCAATATCATAAATAACACAAAATTATTTAATTATATTTCACAAAATGGAGCACTTTTGTGATGTGCACATTTTTAGTCCGCCGACACTAGAAATATTTCTTCGCTCTTGCGACTTTCTCTAAGTGCTTGTTGCTGATCTTTGTATAAAAAATATACGAATATTATGGTAATAAAATCATTATTTTCAATAAAATGAAATAAAACGATGATATTAAAGTTTGAAATGAAACTATTAGGGTGCATTCAAATTAGACCCTTATAGAAGCACTGCAGTGGCGCCACTGTAGCACTGCAGCCGCGCCACTATTATTTTTCATGGCGGCACTTCATGGTTACTTGTATTGGCTATTGGGTGTTTGATGTACTTGGAAAAATCTAGGAGCGGTGGACTTAAAGCACGTGATCAAAAAAGTGCTTCATTTTTTAATATATAACGATTTTTTGTATTGTTTTTAATCTTGGAAGATGTGAAGAGAATGAAAAATTTGAAAAAGACGCCACTAGAATTTAAGTTACAAATTAATGAAGTAACAATTTAATTTGACTCATTAGTCGTAGATGTATTAATTCAAATTAATGATGTTATTTTTTTACTTATTATGTGCTTCCGCTGACCCTAGATTTGACGTATGGACAAATATGTTGATACTGACCAATATGACCGTCCACACATGGAGCCAAATAAGGAGTTAAAATAATGAATATGACTATAGTGTGGACGGTTTACTAGCTTATTTGCCTATTTGACTCCTTTGATGTATATCGAGAAACCGACCAGCGCGCGGTTTGGCGTTTGCTGTATTTGTCGAATAGGCAAACAAGGCAAATACTTTGTCACACATGCTATCTACACATGGTGGTTATTTGCCAAAGATATCAAATACACAAATACAAATAGCCATGTCAGGTGCCACCATCATACAATATTTAGAAGCGCAGTTGCAGCACCACAGCCGTGACACACGCACTTTTTCACTCACAGTTGGTGAAGTAAAAATTACTGAAGCGCTACAGATGTGCGCCTGTCGCGCTACTGCAGCGCTTCTACAATCGTCTAATTTAAATGTCATCTTATCCAATGCTTTTTTTGAATTCACAATTTTTTTATACATATATTTTTGAGGAATACATAAAGTCAATAGCACATCAACCTTGACACTTTTGACATTGGACTGTTCTTATTACAAGCGGCATAGAATCGCATTTAAGTCTTAAGTGTCACGGTTAACTGCTGTTGACCATGTATATTTTGATTTTTAGTAACTATTTTGCATTTTTCATATAATTGTGTAATTAAACGATATAATGTGGTTCATATTGAAAAATAATAATAGTAAAATCATGAACAGTCAAGAGAACTTGGAGCTTGACACTTAAGATTTAAATGAAAGTAAATTTTATTTAATAAATCAGATACCTATTAAAAAGAAGATCATAAAATTACTACCAGCCCTAATATACTTCGTTAATACGTACGATATGGACAATTCAAAGTACAAAGTGTCAAGCATGACGCACCCTTGACTGTACTAAGGTACCTACTATAAAATTTAAAGTCATTCGACATCCAATCGACCACAATTTCTAAAAATAATTTTACATAATTATCTTAGGTGCCATAACAACTAAAAAAAATGTGCGGTATTCGTGGTACATTTGTGTCAATTTTATTAACACAATAAAAAACATCTAACATTGTAAGTAATTAGTTGTTACAAAAAAAACCGCAACTATATGCCCGTTCTTATTTCTAGTTTAAGCTGTCTTTAAAATCACATATGAGTAACTACCTTTTCCCTGTAGACCTACCGATTGGTTCTACTAGTAGGACCACTGGCAAAATGGATATTTACTGATTATTTAGCTTTAAAATTGAGTGAGAGAGATCGACGATTTATTCAAAAACATACACCATGTAGATTATTGTCATTGACGGTAGATCTTAGTGGTAATATAAACAAAAATACGACTATGAAACACTTTATGCGATTACACTGTATAAGTACATAGAAAATCTTAATTGAACATGAGAGAAGGCTCTTTACAGCAACTAGTATATCTGCAGACTACTATAAAAAGGCACCAGGAACTAGCATTACAAGGATCTTTAAAAAAATACTTATAAAAAAAATTTGCAAATGTCACTCAAAATTGATTACAATTTTTTTTTTACAAAATAACCTCGTGAGTTTGTTCTTCCGTGTAGTTCTACTACACTTTTTGCAGCGCCCTATATTATCTTATACCCTTTTCATTTACAATAAATACATATCTGTATAAAATAGAGAGATATTTATGTTGACCACTTTTTACAAATTCAAGGATGTTCAACTATTTTCTAAATTAGTCTCAATCAGCATCTAATTATACCAGATATGTTTATTCACATTTCAAAGTCGTAAATATTCGTCGACCAACAAGTGTGTAAAGATTGATAGGAATATTCAATTGCTTATCAGAGCATTTGTCGATACCACTTTTAAGTATCTGACCGTATTCTCTGTAAGTAAGAAGAATTGTTAGATTACCCAATACTAACCTATTTCAACGTATCGTAAATGGCTTCGTTGGGATATGTACCATTTAGATGGATACTGTTACTAAAACTTAAATCACTATCTTTACTTAATTGGACAGGAGTCCGTTCTAAACTTTGACTGTTATTCTCCACAGGATAGTCGTCCATATTACTCGTTATCTCTAATCTTATAGCATGGTTTTTCTGTTCACAGTGATCAACACCTTTATCGCGTTCCCAAGAATCTATGGCTATGGAAACATCGTTTTTACTTCCAAAATCATCTAATTCACTAGATGTTATACTTGAATTGTCCAAATCGAAGTCTGTCGTCTTTTCTATGACGACAACTTCAATATGTCTGAAAGGATTCTCTTGATTTTCAATCATCTGCCGGGCTCTCTCATCGTTTCGGATTATTACTTCTTTTTTCACGTTGCATATTACCGGGTCGTTAGCTAAGACATCTACACTGCTGTCGTAAGTTTCTTCGTCACTGGTCTTGTTTCCAGAAGTGCATATTTCAGCATAGATGTTGTCCGAGCTGGCGTCCGAGTCTATCTTTTCTTCCTCAACTTCTACAGCATCAGCTACTTGTCCATAAGGTAAATCTTCTATAACAGGCAGTTTTCGCTTCTGTATTGATGAAATAGATCTTCTTAATTTTACTTGAGTATGAGGTTCTTCTTCAGATATATCAACGGCTGTCAATTCATCTTCAAGTTCAGATTTAGGTGTGGGTGCTCTTGGTTTATCAATTTTCTTCCTAAAGTTAAATTTGTCTCCATCACTGGACCTTTCGGTTTTTGTTGGCATGCTGTTGCTATTGCCCTCTTTCCCTTTTTCCAGTTTTTTAGGATGAAGGAGGTTAGAAGTAGACTTACTGAGTACTCTTTTCGTTTTGACATGAAACTCGGAACATAACTTCTCTGTTATGAATGAATGCTGTTTGTAATTAATTTCAAAATCATTGTCGTTGTATAAAGAGCCCACTCCAAACATATTTATCTCTTCACAGCTCTGTATTTGATTATAGGATTCCGAGTTCACCATGGCCTTTTCTGGTATTAGATCTGGCTGTATCCTTTGTCGTCTTTCAAGGTTGGAGGATGATTTTGTCGCTGCGGATTTCTTCAACATGTTCTCATCAAGAGATTTGAGTTTTCTTCCGGAACTTGTATCGCTTTCCATTGAACCGCAATAATTAATCTGATCAACACTGAGATTCTTTCTTTCGTGCTTCATGTTAATGCCACTGTCTTCCGTGTATGGACTGTCAGGCATTCCAGTTTGAACAGAGACGGATTTCGTCAATACTGGTTTTTTAGGGTTAGAACTACAATGACTATTTCCCATATCAGAAGAAGATGTAGTAAGAGACTTGTAAGAGTGACTTTTCTCTGCCGTGCCATTCTCGTTCTTTCTCAAACCACCAAACCTATCTTCAATAAGTTTAGCCATATCTTGGTACCTTTCAATAGAACTGTGTTTTTCTCCTAATGGATCGAATGGATCTTTTCTATCTCTGTATTTACCACTATTTTCTATCGCAGTTATTTTATCGTCGGTCAGCTTTTCCGTGCTCTTCATTAACTTCAAATTCTTGAACCATTTGGTCTTTTTCTGCCCGGAGTCTTCTCTAAAAACATGCATTTTTTCATTCGAAAATGTTTCTTGTTCAACTTTGCCTTCGCTTTTATCTTCTTTACCTTCATCATCGCTATAAACATCATAGTTCATGTGCTCGAGTTCGTTTTTGCTTAAAAAAATTATCGATCCTTCAGTTTCATCCGGTATGTCTTTTAGGACCTTCTCGCTTTTGCCGAAAAGCCTTGATGTATCGATTTTTAATCCCTGTAATGTGAATTTGCGTTCTTTCTCGAACTTGACTGGTTCGTGATCTTCCTTGATGAGGTCTTCGGCTGTTTTCGCTTTGCCGACGGCCGTGGTGTGAGCGTAAGAGATCTGCCTGATCCAGTTGTCAACATTGAGTTGACAGAAGGTTAGTGCTTTCTGGAGGCGGGCGGAGAGGAACATCCTTTTCTCGGACTCAAAGCCTAGTTGCGTGCGGCGGATTTTAATGGAACTGTTGAGTGAGAGGAGCTGGAGTGCCTCCTTGGCGTGGCAACGAGGATCCACTTGTTTAGTGGGGCTGGTGGACATGACCCCGTATTCCGGCAGAGTACACATCACTAACACTGGCTCTGTCATGGCCGCCCGCAGCAGAAGGTCATCTGGAAATTAAATAAATGGCTGTGAATTCATTCTTTAGTACAATTTTGAGATATTGAGTAAAACAATCGGTCTATTATCTCATTATGAGACAAAACATAAGGCAAAAATTCTTTTGTCAGATGCTCGCGATTTTTTTACTTTACAGACATCGAGACAGTCAGACGAACTTTATTACATAATAACAAATGTTATTACCTCCAACATCATGCGCCATTTCAATAGGAACGGTGCCGGCCAACAGTCGAACCCTGGTGGGAAGGCGCCACAAGCTCAGCAGGTGTGGTAATCGATGCGCGCGTGCCGCTGCGTCAGGGGGTGCGGTGGGTGGCGCCTCTCCCACCTCCCATTCCGCCGGTGACAGTTCTTCGGGACAGACTTCGTACATTTCGCCTTTTGTGTTTATCGGGACAAACAGCTCCTGGAAAAACAAAGAATATCTGGCATTCGTTTTTGAAGACTGAAACATCTATTAGACACTAAGACTTAGATAAAATGGTACTCGCTAAAATATAATTATCACGAATTACTGATTAGTTATTTTCCAGATAATGTCACGTGAAGACGGATTTAAATCGCGAAAATAAAAAGAAGTCATATCATGGTACGCAACCTGTCATAGTGTTAATCATTTAGGAAACATCGTTATAATTTTTAAAATATGTTTATATTTTTCTCGTTTCATGCTGTATATACGTAAAAGGTCACCAGCATTAGGTATCTTAAGTTAAATCCGCCATAAAATTGTACCATTAGGATAAACTTCATTTTAAATTTGAATTTGAATGCAATCGCAAACGTTCCTGGATAAGTCAATCTATAAATTAGGTACTTTTAAAACGTCTTAAATCACGGTGAGGTGGGGAGGGTCACAACTCGCGTTCCGCAATGTGCGCGCTCGAAAATAATAATTTGACACACCATCGTCGACAAGCGCCCGAAGGTGACTGACGGGGCAGCGTTCGGTGTGGCGTGTCGTTTTACCGCTAAGCTATTGCAAATTTTGGAATAAATATGAATTCAATAACTATAGGGCTTCAGTTGAAAACCAAAATTTAGCATGTTCTTAAAGAGAAATATCTATATCCATATAAAAATGGGCAAAGTTATCTTTATTTGTTAGATATTTTATTCTTAAATTATTTGTTGCAGATTTTTATTTCAGCCTGTTCAGTAAAGTACAGTTCAGTAAATAAAGTACATCTTATCTACAAAGTAGCACGTTCTTTAGATAATATCCTAGTGTATCGTATATTTTTTATAATAAGTACCGTTATTTATTAGTGAATATCATTTGATATAGCAAAACATTTATTCCTGCTTCTCCTCGGCTGACTTTAGAATAATCATCGTCTACCCATTATTCTGGGTTTTATTTTTTTCTAAGAAAAGAGTTTAGCCCATTGTTTTCCAAGCTGGCCCGGTGCGGGTTGGAAATCTCTCATAATTTTCAAGTTATAAACCGACTTCGATCTGTTAGTTCCGTCACGATTGTTTCCTTCGCCATTAAATAAGCGCCTGTAAATAAGACGCTTGTCAGTAGCGCTTCAGCAATTTTTGCCTCACTAATAGTGACTGCAAAAGCGGCTTGCTTATGTTATGGAAAATATATTAGATTTTCTATACCATACTATCACGTCAGAGCCTAAAATTCGAAAAAAAGCGCCATTTTCTTAACTGACGAACACGAGTTAAATCAATACATAACGCACACACTCTCGCACAAACGCACACGTAAAAATTGTATACACAACGCGACACAGGGTTTCCCTAGTGCGGGGCTATGTTGAGTGTGTGTGTGTTATTATTTGTTATTATTTTATACCGAAGTATTGTTTTACTTTTCGATTAAATTATTTAAAAAATAATATTATTTGTGTTGTGGCAGTACATTTAGGGTCGTATTCCAGACCTCTACTCAATGCTGAGAACTTGAGTGTGATTTTAAGCACTGGATATACGACCCTAATGGCAAGGACTTGAGTATGATTTCTAGTGCTTTAAATCATACTCAAGTCCTGACTTGAGCATTGAATTGAGTAGAGTTCTGGAATACGACCCTTAGACGCCTTAGCCTGTTCTGAAGGACGAAAATTTTACTACTAAATTTTCGTGTACACAAGCTTATAGCCGCTCATCATTTTTAAGCAAAGATAGTTTGTGTAACAAAAGCTGTAGTTATTAAATGCTTTTTACCGTCTGCGCTTTTTTTAGGATATTTCATTGGGTGTCAGTATATGTATATTCAATAAAATGTTAATAGTGGCGCCACTGCGGCGTTGCATGCGTTTTTAAATATTGTATCATTATTAGTAGTGGCGCGATTACAACGCTACAGTGGTCCCACTGCAACGCTTCTATAAGCCCTTAGAAGACTGAAGACGCCCTTAGCGAGAGGTATTTACCAAGTTACTACTTACTAAAACAATAAAGATATGCGTAAGTTATAAATGGGATAATATTATTTAATCCTCAAAGATATAATAATTGATTTATTGTAACTATGAACTTTTTTAATAAACGATATTTTTTTAGTTTGACTATATATAATATTAATTGTTCCATCTACATTAGTTAATCTACGAATAATATGTTTAAGGATACTAAATTAATATTTGGTATTCAAAAATAATATTTGATCGTTTTTTTTTATTATAGGCCTTTTCTTTTGACGATTGATGACATTTATAACCAGTATAACTTTTGATATTGATCTAATAAATCTTGGTTTCTTGGTTGCGCCCTCCATTTCAGTTCAGTTAGGATACAATATGAAAAAGCAGCAAGAGCCGAGCGAGCGATACGAGTGTGCTGCGGCAGCGGCCGGCGAGTGCTAGAAGCAAATTTGCTTGCGTTTCTGAACATGTTTTCAGGTCAAATTATATTAAAATTAACATAATATTAGTATATTAATATAATCAAAATTTACTTATTCTTAAAAATAAAACCAGAGGTACACTTTGAATCTTAACGATTTAATATAACATTTACTATTAAGCGAAAAAAGGAACCAATGTCCTCAGGAATGTGTCTCATCAAAGCTTGCCAGTTCAACATCCTCTAGCTTGCCCACGCGCATAATAGTGACTCCTCACGCGTGGCCGTGCATGCATTAGACGCATAACATGCCTTTACGATGGACACCATAATGACCAAGTTAAATTTACAGCGAACACTGCTATTAAGGTTTATGAAAAGATGCTATTTCCTGATTTACCACCTGCATAGGTAATTTTGACATAGGTATTATGACTTGAGGAATTTATTGCTTTGAACTTGTCAAGTTAAATTGTTGTAATTCTATAGGCAACTTTACTACGAGTTTATGTGTTAAAGACGCTAGGGACTTCGCAAAATATTTGTATGGCAAATCATACAGCGCCCCTAGCGGTCATGAGGGGAACTATTTGGTATTGCAGAACAATTTACGCGACAACTGAATGTATTCGCGTCACGAAAAAGAATTATCTTGTTTTTCTTTATAGACCCACTAGTAGAACTGTTAAGTTTTTAAGATTGCACTAATATAATTAATAATTAAATGCTCATCATAAAAATACAATGTGAATTGTTCGGTTTTAAGAACTCATCACTTACTTTCAAATATAACTGACAAAATTGTAATGAAGAGGAATTAATATGGCCACATTGACCAAGGTCAATGTGTGGCCAGTAAAATACTATCACAACTTCCTCCCAGTGACAGCTGGGTGGGCACATTTAAAAAATAATAAAAAATAAATAATTAGTAAAGTTTTTGTTTTTGCTACTCAACACTAGATGGCGTTGCTATACTCAAACTGCTAACATTAAAATGTGTAAACGCAATGGTTTGGGAAATTTGTCATTACACCTAACAAAATAAAGATGTTTATTTTATAAATCTTTAACACGCAGGTGCCTTTGCATATTGTTTCCCTTCACCGGACAGCAAATGACTATTTATATTCAAATTCTAATCAAATACCTATGTCGTAAAATTATTATTATTATTAAAATTATAAATTTTATAACATTTGCTCAAGGCGGAGATAGTTAGGCAAGGAGCATGTTTGTAGTTATGTGTTGTGAAATTTAATATTTATAAGCGGTAGATATTAAGATTTTATTGAAGCATAATATACTTAGACACCCATTTAACTGTCTTCAAATAACCCAGACAGTAAAAAGGTCTATATAGATAATGATGGACTACAGCTTGTGTTACACATACTATCTTTGCTTAAACATAATTAGTGATTTTATATATAAGTGACAGCTAGTTTGTGTGTACTTTTACCATCCTTTAAGGCACTTACTTTAAGGCAGTTTTTATTTTTTATATTAACTTAATACAAAAAATCACAAGGAAAAAATTATAAATACATATATGTAGTGTAGTTTATATAGATAATTCAGTTCAATTTTTTCACAGCATCAACGCCCCCAATTGCTTCCGAGGCCCCGACCTAGGATTCTTCAGCGTCCACTGTGGGGTAGGGTAGGGGCCACTTCGGGAAACTATGCTCTAAGGTGTGTGTGTATACGCGAAGATTTAGTAGTAATTTTTTTTCCAGGCTATGGCGTCTAAACCTAAACTATACTGCCAGATGTTAAATTTTAATGTTTCTTCAATAATATTATAATTTAAAGGCAACGCCAAATCTTCGGTATGTAATATATTCTTGAGTTAAATTCGTGTACGAAATTGTTTTTTCGAATATTAAGGCATTGACGTGATGTATGTATGGTATCGAAAATCAAATATATTTCTCTCTGATTTTTCCTTACTTAAAAAAAAAAATAGTTGCTTTATTGGTAGGTCAATGAGTTGCTGGTCAAATGTTTATAACGTTAAAAAATATGAAAAAGACCATTTTTTTTAAATAAGAGTTTTGGCTTGGATACAAGTGAAAAAGACGATAATTGTCACGTCACAATCTTAATACTGCCATATAAAACGACCGGTTGTTCGATTTTCATCGATTTGCTGGAAAGGACCAATAATCCCCCACATTCTTTAATTATGCATCCATCGTTAATAGAATTAATTATATACCCTACTATCATTGACTTGTAAGTCAATGCCTACTATGTAGTGTTTTTAAATGAACTTACAAGTAATAAACACTTTCACAAATTTGCTTAATTATAATCAACGTAATTAGGTACATAAATGATTAATGAACAATCAGGAAATCAGGAGCAATTACCCTGTATGCAAAACATTGTCAAATCGATTTATGCGATGTTATACGCGGAAATTACACTTTCGCATGATTTTTCCTGTTAACAAATTGTAGAAAGGTTGTTGAATGGATACCCAGTTTTTTATTTAATGTCTCTTATAGTAAAGTAGGCTGTGTACACGACGTACCATTACCTTAAAATTTTGAACAAATTTAAAGAAATAGCAAAAGATGGCGATCTAACGGAAATTTAAAAAAGAACTTGCACGCCCATGTATACAATTAATAAACAACGTAAAATTTGATCACTTACGTCATAAATAATACAATTGTTTTTTTTTACGTAAATAACAAAATTATAAGCATGTAAATAAAATAAATTTATGACTGGTACCTACGTGGAACCACAGATTTTATTATTATACTAGGAAGAACGTAACTCAATATTCTAACATTAATTTATTTCAGTAACATCTAATAAAGTTAATGTCGGAAAAATTTCTATTTTGAAGAAAGAATATTTTTCAGAAAAAGAAATATTTTATTTCTCCAATATTTTTCCTTTGACTTTCCACACGTCAACGTCAAATGTGGAAAATTAAAACGATGGATCCATTAAAAAGGTTTTTTCGCCGTTGTGAAACCATTTTAAATCCTGTTTTCCTCTAAGTGACTTTTAACTATACAAATTTATTTCATAATTCACGCTAAATAAAACTTTAAAAGATATTTCTGAACGTAGAACATAAGTATGAGCCTTCGAAATTTTTTTCCAATATTTAAAATTGTTTCGGGATTTTTTCCGGAAAAATTTCCACTATTAGAAGTGTTTAGGAAAACTACCCAACAGTAAATAAAATATAAATACAATAAATAAATAAGCTCACAACACTCGAACCAAATCCATTAAATTACCTTTTACTCACTTAGAGGCCTTTTACTAACTATAGTACTATCGAACACCAACAGATGGCGCTGAGACACTACTAACGCCTCTACATTGCACTTGAAAGCCTTAAAAGTACACAAAACTCAAGGTTATGTTAACTAGTTATAGAATTTTGCATCTAAATATTTGTTTCCTTGTTAATAAAGCTAAGAAAACTTTAAGACTAAGTTATAATATTAAATTATAAAGACATGTTCTGAAACGCGCAAGCAAAGTTTTCCCAAACAGAAGTATATAAGAAAAAATGACGACAAGGTTAATCGTGTCTATTGAAAGGAGAGACGGTTAGCACTCCCCTTGACAAGGATGGAACACAATAAAATGGTCGAGGCACCTTGACCAACATTTTTTTAACGTTGATTTGTGCATTTTATAAGGAAAAGTGTAGTAGTTTATCTTGAAGCAGTAGGTGTCTTCGTGGCTGTAGAGCTTCTGGAAGAGTTCGTCCAGAAAAATACTGCCACCTTATCTATTCCTGCCGCCATCCAGCATGTGTGGCCGCGCCGGTGCGACAGTTTGTTACGAGGGCACAAGTTTTGTTTGGGCTTTGTATCAACAATAATAAGTCTTATAATTTTAAGCAAAACTTTACCCTTTATTTTTAATTATTTCGAGATCAGAGGGATGTATATGAACTTGAAATATATTTATTTATACCCTGGCTTGTACATTATTTTCAAAATCGATTCACAAATGACGAAGTAATCGCGTAATAAAAACACAAAAAAATAGCCAAATTTAGAAAAAAATTGGAAAAAAAAACTTTTTTTGGTTAAAAATTAAAACAATTCGATAGTGATTCGCTAAAAACAATATCGATAAATTACACAAACAGCTCAAGAACCGCACGAGACGTCATAAACTAGGTAACTTGCATATTCTTGAACCTTTTAGAAATGGTTATGCAACATTGGAACCTATAGTGTCAATTTGAATTTTGAACGCCCATTGGACAATAGCCCCGCCGTGCGATGTTGGTTACATATTAATAAGTGTATTTCTATTACAACGCATTTTCATTACTAATATTATGAAATCACAATGAATTTCTTTTATATTTATATATATTAAGTACTATATTTATGTAAATATACATATATGACATATTTTAATTTATAATAGTCGTTTTTTTAAAACCCTAACATTCTCTTTTAACTTACTGCATACAATAACTCATTACTAGGTAAACCCCTTAGATATTTGGTGTTTTCAACGTCAAATAATGACTCTCTTATTGTGGTTTTTTTATATATAATTTTAAGGGACGGGACGAACAAGTCGTGCGCCTGACGATTAGCTACACGCCTGTCCATTGCAGTTGCGGTGCCACTCAGAGCTTTAAATCGCAAAGATCTGAGGTGCACTGCCACTGCGCCCGTCACCGTGAAACATAAGTGGACAAGTCCCATGTGCCGGTAATTTCACCAGCACTCTTACCCTTTAAAACCGGAACACAGTAATGCTGACATTACTGCTTGGCGGCATAAAACGTGAGTTGTAATATTAAGTTTATTCAATAACACGAGGTTTTACTACCATGACATTCAAAAAAGGAGACGGAGGCTCTTGTTCACACCTTGAAATATAAAAAAAATACAAAATACGACTTATAACTAAATTTTTCGAGAAATCCCTTTTTTGGCTGTTGATCGTTAGAGGAAATGTTCTTTCGAGATTTTGATGCATCGATGTGGCAAATCTTAGAACTCACGGTTCATAGGCCAAATGGACAATCGAGCAAGTTTTCGAGCAATTAATGTTATATTAAACGGCATTCGATCTCAAGAAAGGAACCCAAACAATAGCTGTTCCGAATCAATTTCCAATTTCATAGAATGGCTTCCTTCTGTCGCTACCATCATCACTATGTGACCTGGTCGAATTCGCTGATTTAGAAGATCTGCTAGTTCTCCGACTGCTCTGTCTGTCGTCGGCTTCTGGAACCGACCATTCCCTTACTTTTGATTTTCTGACAACAGGACTAGCTGTATGTATATCTATGTAATCCCATTGACCTCCATACATATAGCTATCATTATTGAAATTTCTATGCTTTTTTGAAGAAGCAGCCGTAGGTAACCAGGTAATCACAGCATTCTGGCCATATTGTTCTAAATCTCCAATGCCATCTCTAGAAATTAATGCACAATCAACATTTATTATTCTCAATTGAGGTACACAGGTTACTTCATACATAAACTTTAGTACATGAATTAAGGGGTCATTAAATTTTAACGAAAACCAGTTCGCTTGATTTTTAAATGATCTGCGAAAGTCGGATTCTGTATCGTCCAGAGGAACGTATAATACTTCTATCGGAACGTTAACGTATTTTGAGTTCTCGTATACGTGGTAGAACTTTCGTATGATACCATTTCTGTCACAACCATGTTGGTTAAAAAGGAGGCAAATGATGTCGGCGTTATCGTTTAACATGCTGTACGATATCGATGAAAATCTCTTGTTTATAACATTTGCAGCTTTGAGCCAATTGAACGCGCTGTCGATATTGGTTTTTGATTGAATTGGAAATATTGATGAATGCATTGTTGTTTCTTTGGCGTTAGATAATAATTCTTAACTTTTTCGTTTCTATTTATTTTTCTCACAAAATCACAGTTGCTCGCCACCGCTACGATTTGTGGTATGTATGTCAAGTTGACTGGCATTTTTTAAATCGTTCCATAGTGTTTTGTAAATGAGGTCGATTTACTGCGTAACCAGCCAGTGTTAAAGATGACAGTTGTGATGAATTAGATTTTAACGGACTTCAAAAGAAGGAGGAGATTCTCAATTCGGCTGCATTTCTTTTGTGTGTTACGAGTATATTCCGACATTTTGTAAACCGATTTCGATTATTCTTTATTTTTGCAAAGGGCTACTTCTGTCGCAGTCCCGTTCAAATTTGAAAAAAATATACCACCTATTTATAGAGATATTAGAGGATGAATACGGTTTACTGGATTCCACCCACTTTTCGTTAACCGATTTCAATAAAACTTGGCAAATAGAAGTCCACAAACTTTTGAGATCGGGTTTTTTTTATAATTTTTAAAACTAGCTGACAGCCCCAACATTTATTTCACTGTCATTCTAAAGCTGAGATTTAAAGAACTTTGTCAATCAATACTCTGGTAATCCAATGTTTTTAATTGATTTTGATGCACTAATTTTTAAACCCAACATTGTTACCAATTTAGGAATTGTCAAAGACGACCCTAACGCTGGAATACTTTTTAATAAAATCGTAAATATACCGTGTATCTTTCAACCCGGACACTGGCAGAATTGTCCTCAGTGGGACAGAAGCCATATACCCAAAAAAAAAAAAATAAAAAAAAAAAAAGAACTTTGACTCCGACAGCAGAAATGTCGAGCTGAAAAAGTTTTTCGTATTTACAAAACGAACTTTCCCTAAGTTGTATATAGTCTGTATATAGTGTATAATAGTTGTATATAGTAGTGTTATATAGTCTGTAGTAATTTAATATTTTTGTTCTAGATTTTTTTATTATTATTTTATTACATAATTTAATTTTGTTTTGTTGGCACGTAAACCCCTTATTGTAATTATTGTGTCCTGTATTTTGGTCTGCAGTAAGAAATTTCTTATAGAAATAAGCAGTACCTTTTGTTTATGTTTTCCGTTTTACTTAAACTTTAAATAATTGAAAATAAATAAGTAAACAAGGGTGCCTTAAAATTAGACGCTTGTAAAAGCGTTGCAGACGCGCCGAAAGCGCGTCTGTAGTCTTTCAGCAATTTTTATTTTACTCTCTAACTGGGACTGCAAAAGTGGCCCGCGCGTGTCACGACAGTGGCACTGCTACTACGCTTCTTAAGTGGGCACCGTGCTTCTGGCGCTAATTGATTTTAGGTATTCTATGCGCTCAGTGTATGTGTGCGTGTGGCATACCGACTGTGAACTGGCAATCGGTACTATGTGTCAAAATGGTGACAACTTTACAGGATGTAGAGAAAAATTGTTTATGTCATTTGTATAGCATCATGATGCTATGATTGCATGATTTATTAAATAAAAATACGTAGTTTTGAAATATTTTTATTACACATACACTACGTATTTTTATTTAATAAACCAGATGCTATATAAAAATAACGCAAACATTTTTTTTATTCATCGTGTAAAGTTGTCACGTTTCTCCAGCCGTGTGTAAGCCTAAGCGACACATCCGCCACGTGAGACGGTCGAAGCAGGACTAAATCGGACGTGAACACAACAAGTATCCGCATTTACCTACTTTTAACCTAACCTTTTTTATCTCTAATCGGATAAAGATACACTCCCGGACGCATATTTCGGGTCACCTTGTATTAAGTGCCCTAATCTTAAACAATGTTTTATGAATCTAGAGTTTCCATAAGTCCTTGTAGAATGAATGTGCGAAATTTTATTTGAAATTTACCATGGGCTTTTCGGTGAAAGAAAACATGATGAGGAAACCTGTGCACATTTGCAAAGCAACTCAGCAGTCTATGTGGAGTTCTCAATCCGCAAAGGGCCCACGCGGAAACAACAGCCCAAGCTTTCCCAGTATTAGAAGAGGCCTATGTTTCAGTGGGACTATATGAGGCTATTATTATTAAATAATCGTCTATAACTTTTTGCGTTAAGAGTCGATACCACTTCAGCTAGAAGTAATATATTTTCCGTACTGATACGGTTTTTTTTGCTTGGGTCGAACGGCAGGGACACTGGTTTTATTTCAGAATTTATTTCATTTAACAATTGAAATTAACGCCATTTGAAAAAGGTACATCATATACTATACGTGCTCTATTTAGTTCAGTTGATATAAACAAAAACATTGGTATATATAAAGTACACATCGGTTTTCTTGTAAAATTTCGACGTAAGTTTGTGTTCTTTTTTCTATCGTGTTTTCACACTGTAGTAATCAGTGTACATCCTCAATTTTTTAACTGTCTCTGTGGCCGAACGGTTACCATGCCGGACTGCCACGCAGAGGTCCCAGGTTCGATTCCCGGACTGGGAGAAATATTTATATGGCCTACATTTATTTCTCTTGTGAGTTTGGCACCCGCGACACAGGGTTTCCCTAGTGCAGGGCTGTGTTGAGTGTGTGCGTTATTATTATTATTGTGTGTGTTATTAATTTTACTATATATTTTTTCCATAGCGGTTGTTTCAACACTTTCACTGTTATACGGAACCAACCAAAGCCAATTGAGGTTGTATAGACTCTTAAAGGCGAACCTCCTTGTTTAGGAGATTTCTCGTCGAAACCTCCGGTGGCCAGAGGGCTGGTAGCTGCTTCCGCCAAATAATAAGCTTGGCTATCTAAACAAGAATCGTTGCCAAACATTTGAACGAAGTGCCCCAAGGCGCGGCTTAATATAAAGAGTAAACGGTGGATTTTTTTTATGATAACAAGTGACGGATATTAACTGAACAAGTCGTGCGTCTGGCGACACGCCTACCCGTAACAGTTTCATTGCCACTCAACCGCAAAGACCTGAGGGCATCGAGTATATAACCAGAAATAGAGAAGACATAAGAGCCATCCATCCCTGGCAACTCATTAGGTAAATGGGCCTTATATCACTTTTAAATATCAACTCTCGTTTGCGCTGAAATAACAAATTAGAAATCTGGAATAGTACAGCGCCAACATGGCGCCAACAGCTGACATGTGTGTACGTCTCCGTATATTCCAAAAATATTCCGTATTTATTGTAATAAAGATAATATGTCTAACAATGGGGGCTGTTCCATTCGGTGGTGTAGGGAAAACAGCAAAACATTTAATTACAAAACAAACGGAATCATATTTCATCGGTAATTAAATATTGCAATTTTCATCCATTATAGCAAAACTCAAGTTAAACTGGTCGATTTGAAGTGAAACAATTGACGAGTCCCGTCAAATGTTTCGAATTCGGGCTGGCCAATGGGATCACAGTTGTCATCGTAATGATTTGGCAGAATAGTTTTCAAACAAATTAAATGACATTTCGTCTCTATTTCTGGTTATATACTCGATGCCTGAGGGTCACCGCTCCTGCCCCCGTCAACCTAAGACATTTACACCTATAATTTCCCCAGCAGCCTTACCTACCCTTCAAAACCAGGACCCTGTAGGTAATGCTTGCTGTATTCTTCTGTTAATAGACGGTAGTAGGTTTGATCTTAACAATTTTACTTACTTTGATAATTCCTCAATGACAAAAGTTAATTTACACACGTAAATTATGTACTCATTTTGTCGAATTTATATTTTATAAGAATAAAGTTAAAAATAATGAGTTTAGTCACATGACACTAAAGTGTAATAATACATAAATATACTCGCTGATTCATTATAGTCGTGCCAAGATAGGATCCTCTTTTTGACAGATAGTTTTAGAGTCGTAACACATCCCCTTTAATCAGTATCATTAACACTAGTATGGCACTAGTTACTAAAATTCTATAGTAATTTAGCATCATTGATACCAACCTGAGGTAAAGCCAGGCTAAAGTCAAGTGGAAAATTTTAAAAACAGGTGTTAAATACAAAAAAAAATATTCTGAAAAATATCCAGGTCATAGTATGTTTCCTTTTCACACGAGCTGGACCTCAGTTCACTTAAATTTACAATTATTTGTGTTTTCAACAGATTGTCAAAACGTACATCTCACAACCAGTCTGAATTAATTTCATTTCTTATTTTGTCTACAACGTGTGGTTACTTTAATAATTTGTTAATATTTTTTTCGGCGAAATTAACATTTAGTTGTAAATATCACAAGTATGTAATCTTATGAACGGTGTCTGCAATAATTGATTTGATATTATGTATTCATAAAAATTGTCGTTAATGGCAACACATAACAATTTAATTTCTGGGGATATTTCTACCATACTACATAATTTCTGTTTATCACATAATAGTATGCTATTGAATGAGAGACATCGATAGGTTTAAGAAAAAAAAAACATAAAACCGTTTAAGTGACGTATCTTATATATAAACTATCACACTTTTAATGCAGATACCTATTATATTATGTGTTATTGTAGTCAAATACTAAATATTTAACCGAAATAAACTAGTTCTTAGTGTTCACAGTGGAGATAAATATTATAATTTTTCTTTTCCTATTTGGGCAATTATTATTAAGTTAAGTTCTATCGTCGTTCACAGCTATCAAAAAGAGAATGCTATCTTGGCTCAACTATACTTGATTTCTCTAATCACATGATAGTACTACCCTGTTGCTTGCGGGACATCACTAGTTTTAAGGAAAAAAACTTATAGAACGTAACCGTTAGCATGATGCATCATAAATACAAACTATCACAAGTTTAAAGCAGTTATAAAATCAAATTATGTGTTATTACGGTTAAATCCTATTTATTTAACCGAAATAAAAACATTGTTAGTGTTCACAAAGGATATAAATTATACAATTAATCGTTTCCTATTTGGACAATTATTATTAAGTTACGTTCTGTCGCTGTTCATAGCTGTCAAAAAGAGGATGCTATGTTGGCTCGACTATAAAGTTGTTGTTTAAGTGTACATAGTATAGGTTAAAAACTTTTTGGGCCCTTGG